TACAGTGAAAATGAATTATTTCTTTAAAATATTCTGGGTCCTGGGTTTTAAGCAAACATTAAATAGGCATCCTCCCATTACTATAACTATGCACTTAGTTCATCGTCTTAATATCCAGGGGCAGAGGAGGTGTTCGAAGAATTAAAGCATTTTTACTATACAAACGATCAGAACTCCACTTTAATTAACTCAAGAACTCCTGACCCTGGGGTCATGAAATTCACAATTTTGGAAGAGGCACCCTTTTTCATCATACACCTGAATTTAGTTGTTACATGATACTCCTGCAGGCCTCTTCTTTTTAATGCATTCATAGGTTAGAAATTGGTTCATGCTGAGAAATATCCATGAGTAAAAGAAAGTCAAGAAACTCAGATATTTCTTGCTCACAAATGAAAGCTGGTTAATGTACTTGGAGCAGTAGAACAGACGTTTTTGTGCTTGTAAAACAAGAATGCCCCAGTATGGAAGCTTATGGCAAAGGTTTAAGTTTCTCGAAAGTAAATCAAACTCTTGAGATGGTCAAAGGATCAGAAATATTGTTACCCAACGAAAGAACTTGTCTCAGTGAATATACTTGTAAAATATGAAGTCCAAACGCCATTGGCAACTGTTTTAAAGTTATGGCCAAGGTTAAACTTCTATCAAATTGAGTCAAACTCCCAGGTCAAAAAATCAAAATAATGGTACCAACAAGAAGGCCTTGTCACATTATAAAATACAAATGTGAAATATAAAAGCCCTAGTTAAAACTGTTCAAAGGTTTAAGTTTTTCAAAAGTAGATCAAACTCCAAGGTCAAGGTCTCAAAACTAATTAATGGTACCCAGGAAGATCTTGTCACATGAAAAACACTTGTGAAATACAAAAGCCTGTTAAAAAATATTGGGCCAAGATTCAAGTTCTTTTTATAAATAGATCAAACTCCAAGGTCAAGGTCAAAACATCAAAAATATTCATTTCCAAGAAAGCTCTTGTCATAATAAATATTCATATCAAATATAAATGTAAAGGTTGACAGCCCTGGCACCAACTGTTCAAAACATGCCCATGCAAGATAGAAAATTTGGAATTTTTTCTGCAAAAGATCAAACTCCAAGGTCAAGAGGTCAAATAACTTTGTCAGAATAGAGGTCTGCATGCTGACTTTGATCAATCACTTAAAATAAGGTTCAAGGTCGCTGCATTACGTAACCAACAAGCACTCTATCCATGGGTAAAGTGTGAGCCAGAGGAAGTCAAAGGGAGTCTGAGAAAAAAATGCTCTTGACAACGATGCAATAGAAAGATATCTACTATGCACATACTTTCTCTACAGGTCGAGTTCTGTGGATGAAGTTATTGAGCAAGATTAGGTAAGAAGAGAAAATAGGCTTTGGAAAATGAGTTTGCTCAGAGAGAGGCTGTCACATGAATTAAGGACAGATGATACAAACAAAAGATGGATGCCTGGGTTGGTTTATATTTTTTGACCTAATTTCTTTGCAAATGATGCAAATAATAAATTTCTAGAATATAAAGAAGTTGTAACCCTTTTGTGACGTTCAAAATTCTACCCTTCTGAAACCATACTTATTATTCTATACAAATATTTTTCCCTTCAAATTCCATTTTTGTGCAACTTTAATTAAAAAATTAAAAACTACCTAGTGAAACTTATTTATTTTATTCATTTAAACATGACCCAAGTTGTTACGTTCAAAATTTTTGACAAAAGTTTGTTTGTATCATCTTTCCTTAAGACTAAAGGACAGACTGCTCACTCTAAAGCCCTGCATACTGTTTCCCATGTAATCTTTGTCCATGACTTAGGTGCAATGCTTGAATTATAAATTTCAGTTTTGGAGGACACACCCAAATGGAATTTCCTTGAGAAGCAAAAAATGGGCCATTCAATATTATTGCTGGGGGGGGGGGGGGGTGTTATATGGTATTTGTACAGATCCTGGTAAAATTCTTGTATGATGCCATTCAACAGAACCTTGACAAAATGACTCTGACTAAGGTAGCACAATGAATTGGGGGGGGGGGGGGGATGTATCACTGAAATCTACCATAGAACCATCACAATGTTAAGAACCAGAAAACTATTTCATCTCTAAAGACCAATGCTCTTATATCCTCTCTGTGCATTTTACAGGACTGTGTATCATGGGCATAATTTATCAGTCAGCCTTTGCAATTAAGTTTCTATATTAACGTGTAACTTGTTGAATACAACTGTTAAAATTGTTTTAAAAAAAATTAAAAATTAAAAAAAAAAGTTTTTTATTCATAGACACAATAAAATACATGTATTCATAACCTGATTCTGTCAACACATGTGCAATGAACTTAGCAACATAATTTTGTTCAACACAATCAGTTTTTTATCTTTAACATGTTCAACTGTATTGTACTTCATGTATTTTACTGTAATATTAAATCAATCAAATGCACCAAAAATATAATCAGTTCAAATGAGGATTCATTCCTCTACTGTCTTTTAGGAATATGGTTTACAATGCTGCCTTAAAGCGCTCTGTGACACTTTTCCAGTTGACAATATGCCATATGGCATCCACATAGTCTGGTCGGACATTCTTATATTGTAAATAGTATGCATGCTCCCAGACATCAATTCCAAACAGGGGGATGAGACCTAAAATAATAAGACAGAAAATTAATAAATTATTATTTCAAATTACTTGTAATTGAAATATTTATCTTGAACTAAAATGATCAAGATAATATAAAGCACTTGTGCATGCACTTAGCGATTAGAAAAATGTGAATGTCGCCATTGTTTCCCACCCTTTTATAAACTGTTCAATATTTTTCTTTTAATGACATCAAAAATCTCTCATCATTCAATGGCATAACAAACAAATCCCATTCTTTATTTCTAGAGAACCCAAAATTAATTTGTCTAGAAAAATGTGATTATGTGACTGTACTTGAATATCATATATAGTTTATGTATCAAAAATTAAATTCTTGATTCTTGCTTTCCCCTTTCCTCCTCTCAACCTCCCTCCATTTTTACCTTTACAGTTATATGAACATCAACTCTGATTTAAGTATTTTGTAAAATTGTTGTTCATTCACTGTTTTGCACACGCCTGCTTTTTATGAATAACTTCTGTTCTTAGTACATATTGAAAGGACTTACATAAGAAAGAGACAGAGGTCAAAGTTATTTTTATTAAGTCTGCAGCTTTCAGGTAACATAGAGATACATTATCCCTTGTTCATGTGCATGCAGTCTTACCAGTAGTGGCTTGTAGAGGGTCTTGATTGGCACAAGTGACTATTCTTAGTGAGTGGGCAGGCTTATCATATCCTCACCCAGCCCCAGCCTGACCCCTGAATTCCAACAGAGGCAGCGGTAATCGATTACTCATGGCATCAAACGTTACAAACTCCTCAAGGATCAAGTCCTTGAGAAGGCGCCTTATCGTTCGCCTCCCTGTGGGCGAGAGCGTCTCCCCAAAAAATACTGTGATTCAGATGGCCCCCTCCATTAAATCTAATGGCTGCCTGCAACTGGATGAGTCCGTTGACATCTCCTGAAAGTATTTAAGATGAAAACATAAGCTGAATGTTTCTCAAACTACAATCCAACATGTTCAGAATGATTGTGTTTACATCCCCTGAAAGTATGTTAGATGAAAAACACAAGCTGAGTATTTCTCAAACTACAATCAAATATGTTCAAGTTGTCACTGCTATGCATTGTCACTGCAAGTCCCCTACTCCTTAGAATTGTGTTGGTAAGCACAAGTATTTCTACACCTGTCTGTTAAAAACTTATTTTTTTAAAGATTTTCTTTTTTAACATTGAAAACCACATCATCAATCCAAGCAGTTGAAGAACAAATTAAACTTGTTTTAGTCCTTACTAGTAAACCCATATGATAAACACTTCAGGCAACAATGAAACTTTTATTTATATGTAATTTGACTCTAAACAGTGCCAGAGGTGTGATTCCTTTTTTTTTTTTTTAAAAAAGATATCTGTCTTGATTACTGCTAAATGTTTCTTCTTAAGTGTGGCAATTACACCCTTATACTCTTTTCTTATACTCTTTTCTTTTTCTTAAAACTTTAGTTACATAATGAACACCAAATGGGATCACAGTGGATTCATATTTATGGAACTGATTGGAGTCATTGGACAATGTGATTCAGTAAATTTGTATGGTATGTTTACATCGGACTTCAATATTGCATATATATCAAAGAGTGAAAGTTGAAATTTTTTCTCATTTCTTACCCTTATGCATGGCTTCTGCAAGTTTTTCCTCTGCTACATTGAGATTGTTGACATAAGTCTGGTGATGTTTTGTGTGATGAAGTTTCATAATGTCAGCTGAGATAAATGGTTCCAAGGCATTGTAATCATATGGAAGGTCGGGCAGTGTGTGCTTCATCCTCATGGCCATTGCTCCTAGAGCACTTGCTGACTTTGTGAGGGCACTAAGAAAAAGAACAAGTTTTTTTTTTCATTTTGAAATTTATTTCGCTTGTTCTTGGTGAAGAGTATATCGTATTATATATTATCTTTAGATGAAAAAAAAACTTTCATTTACACTATCAAACAAATATAGCAGACAGACGCGCTTGTTCGTTCAGGACAAACTGAATTAATGTTGATTCTGCGTCTATAACCTTAAATATTAATTTTCATAAAGATTACTCTTATTATGCATTGTCTACAAATGTCAATGTATTAACAAACACAAGTTCTTATCATGACATTACCATTTTGCCACAGAAAACTTCGAAGACAACATATTTCTGCGACTCTCTGCAAAACTTCTAGGTCGATTGTATGTGACCTTCACCTTATATTCTCAAAGAAAAAAGCAAATACTTAAAATGGATCGATACTGGTTAAAATTAGATTATAATAGAATAATTTTCCAAAATTTCAAAAATAAACATATCTAGAAACATTCTTGGCATAGTTATAGGCCTACAGATATATTTCTAGATTTCCCTTTGGAAATCAATTTCCCAGAGTTCCGCAGTAATTACATATGGCTGCCTCCTGGTCAAAGCGACTGATCATTGCCAAAAATTGATTTACTGATTTTATAGATAAGGATACGTAAGTAAGCATATGAGTGATTACAGTACTAAAGATAACATATTGAAATTGCTAAATAGTTGCAAGTTAGGTTGGTTTGAGATAAAACTATGCATAAATTCGTGAAAACAAAAGGCGTGGCTTAGACGCCATTTTTAGTCGTTTGTTGTAGGTGCGCGCCGCAAGCACAAGGCACTAAATGTTTTACAATACATGTATATCTTGTTTTAGAATGATTACAGTTCATTAGTTTCTGCAGTGTCACTTATTTTGCAAAAAATTGATTAAACCAGCCAGTGCATTTTTTTCTCAAAATTGTCATAACGAAAATGAAACTAACTTATCAGTTACAATTTTTGGAAAATGTGGTTTATTACTTCCTGGGTGGAATATTTTCAGACATAATAGATTTAACTTATCACAAAGGTAGTTTTTGTCAAATTGTTTTTTTTTAGTGAGATGACAGTGTCGCTTAGTCAAGGTTAAATTTTTTTTTGTTGTTTTACATTATAGATCTTGCACTATGGAGTCTCCGTCCTCTCCAAAAAGGGTAAGATTATTGAAATAATGACATAATGTTGATTTTTTTTTGGATTTATTTAGATAAACAAATTGAATCTGTTTAATTCAGTGAATTTTTATATCTAAATTATTTATTTTGTCACACAGGCGAGAACAGATGCTGATTTGAGTGAGTTATCGAAAGAAGATTTAATAAATAGGTGAGAAGATCTTACTCTCTCTTTCCTTTACTTTCTCCTGATGAATTATACGCAAATATATTTAATTTTTTGTTCTGTTCATTTTTAACATGAATAAGAATTGAATTTTGTTTATTTAAAACAGAATCAAAGATCAAGAAAAAACTATTCGTCAGTTGGAGGAAAAACAGAGAAATTTGAAAACAGGTGATTGCATGATATTGTTAACTTAAAAAATAAGCATAACTATAGTTATTATTTGACTTGCATGTTGCAATTAATTACTAACAGGTACACATTGACATAGAATTGAAAAGAATTTGAAAAGAAAAGCTGTAATAGAAAATTGATTTAAATAGCCTTCACATATAATTTAAAAAATATTTCAGATGATAAAGATTTGAAAGAAGTAGAAGCAAAGTTAAAACAGCATCAAAGAGATGCTGCACGCAGAGAGAATACACTTGTTCATAGATTGACCACCAAAGAACAAGAGCTGCAGGATTACATTGTAAGTCACCAATGTTATAAAAAATAATCTTAGAACAAAGAATCCAGGCCCCAAGACCATGAAACAAACTTACACTTTAGTCAGATTTTCAATTGCCTATAAAATATTCATTGATTGAGGGATTTATTTAGAAATTTACTGATAACAACACCTCTCTGAAACAATATTGGAAAATATTTTAATTTTGGTCTGCTTGACCTCTACAACATTTTATTATAAAATAAAGATTTTGACTTAAGCTTGAGATGTTTCATCATTCCGGGGCCAGGTTTTCACAATTATCTCACAGACACTTAAGTCTAGCTTTTTTTATCCGAATGGGTTCTCTCAGTTTTTTATTATGTTTAATGTGGAACAAAATGAAAATGATTAGATTTAGAAACAAAGGGAAAATGTTCATAAAAATGCAAGTTATTCGTGTAAAAGTTCCCCAGTGATATTCAACAGTCCTTTCTATACTCTTACAGAATCAAATCCAAGAATTTAAACAGTCACAGACACAGAACAAAGCCCAGCTACAGAAAATGCATCTGGATCCTGCAGTCAACTTAGTTTTTCAAAGGATGACAAAGGAAATGGAAGAATGCCAAGAGAAACTGAAACAAACGCAAAACGAACTCAGTGCTTGGAAGTTCACTCCCGACAGGTGCTTATTTCGTTCATTGGTAACAAATGTCCAAAGCAATCCCGCTGTCACTTAAGGCTTGAACACTTAACGCGACTCAGTATTTTTCCATCCTGGCAAAAATTATCTCCCTTCTGGATGTCGACCGTTTTGACATTCACCAAAGTCTGATGTCAGTAAGAACTTTGACATTCAGGCCATGTTGTTTTTCATATTCTTTGCTGATTTATTTTTGGCCAAGGAGAAACGAGTAAGAACATGGTTTTTAAGATTCCTGGCTTCCTTAAACTGATCAGAAAAGAAAGTTGGGGTGACTTGGAAACATTCTTAGGTTACCCTGCTTTATTTCTTACACCTCCTGCCCCCTACATTCTGCATTGTGATGAGACAATGTGTGTAGACTTGTAACACTTTAACAATAGAATTCCACTTCATGGTGGGAGCCAAAAAAGTGTTGATCAAGTCGCATCGTTGGGAGTTTGTCCATCTGATCTCGGACACAGCTCGGGTTGATTTATGAATTGTGTGTGAGCTTTTTTTCTGCCATGACTACCCAAACTGTCACCGTTGTTGTAGATTACATTTATTTCAGGTTTTCTCTGATTTTTGCTTTAACATTATTATTTAAGACAGACAGATATACTTATGTGAAAATATATCCAGAAACTGTAAGTACAGAATGCTGGTTCAGAAGATTGACACTGTGAAATTTGACCTAATAGACAGAAGTTGAGTCAATGTACTTCAGGTAATTATTTATTTGTGAATAAAAACCATGTTTATTGCATCTTTGTGTTTCAGGATAAAAAATTCTTTTGTTGCAGCGTTCTGAGAAGACAAGGGTGCACATTTCAGGGGGTTCTGTAATCTCTAAAAATAAGATTTTGCTTTATATTATGAATAGAATTAACAATGCTTTGTTTTTGGAATTTTTTTTTGTAATTTATTAATTTATTTTGCATAAATTAAATTTATCACATCGCTTGATTGATATTTTCTGATCTGCTGAATTGCACAGGTACATGCATTCAGTCTTTTCAAAACTGAAATTAGTTCAGTTTTACACATTAGAATTATGAATACCAGATGTGTAACATGCTTTGCACATGTCATCACTCCTTGAGAGCAATACATACATGTACTACCTATCTGCTTTTTCACAGATTTCCTTCCATAGTATCTTTATAAATAATAATTTTAAATGCAACCAGGATTTACTTGTTTGCTACATAGTTTAAATCATGTGAAAAGCCATATCAAAAACAAAAGTGCAACTTAGGTCAAGAAGAAAATAGTTCTTGATTTATCCTGCTCAGAAGTCCAAATTGTTAAGCTTTGTGATGATTTTTTATTTACTTTTGTCCTCTGTGAAATAATGTTCTTGACAATGTCAAGAACATTAAGTTTCACTGATATATTCTATGTACTTTTAAACAGAGGAATATATATTTAAAGACAAGAATATTATTGAAGGAGTAAGCAAGGTTTCTGAAGTCAGCCTCCTAGACTGAAAGATAAAAACTACATTATAACTATAATATCATTCAAATACTGTAGACATACCTTTTCTCCACATCGGATTGATTTTTGCTACATCTGCAGTCACAATTGAATTGCAGGAATTAGTCACCAGTTATTTAAGACATACAATGACAATGAGAGAAACCCACATAATTTTCTACAGTCAGACAGAACAGGAATTTTGATTCTACAAAATAACTATCCTGCTAAAAAAAGTATGTTTACAGTATCATGAGTAGTATACCTTTGAAAATTGCTTCCTAATAAATTCGTACTTAAAAGTGTACCATTTTACTGATTTTACTGAGCTGTCCAAAATAATGTAGAATGTCAGTGACATGTTTGTTACTCAACTTGCATTCCTTACACCCCTTATGCAGAATCATCCTGGGTCAACAAATCAATAAGCTATATTTGATTTAGTTTTATGTAATCTGCATCGTAAAGTATAACAGAACCAGAAAAAAGATTTTATGGGAAAAAAGTTTTGAAGGTATATCAAAATAGTATGGACTGGGTCTTCAGATGGAATGCATTTTGCTGAACCTTCGAACCAAACTCACCTCCAGCTTAACAGTGTGAGGAATAAAACAGGGTTCCCTGGTCTGACAAAATGCATGTTTCTTTCAAACCAGTCAAAAAAAGTACATTTACATAAACATCTATGTCAGCAGAACATTTTACTTAAAAAGGGAAGTTGGGGATTAATATTTTATTTTTAGACTGTATATTGAATGCTTTAGTTTTTTAATTTGTTTGAAAATAGTGTTTTAAAAAGTTGTTAAAAGATACTGTTTATTTTAATGACAAACATGCTGATTTGAATGTGTAAAATGGTTGTGTAAATTGAAGGTTATGTACCATAAGTTTGAATTAATCTGTTTTGTGCTTGTTGAAAAAGAGACAGCATCTGAGAGAGAGAGAGAAAAAAAAAAGAATATGAGCAATTTTTTTATACTGAGTCTCTAATATTCTTTTGAACATGCAAGTGGAAATACTGTTTGTGCTTTTTATTTTGATATGATTTGCAATGGCTAAGAAGGAACAAAAAGAAAAAAAATATATTTAGCAGTTGTTGGACATATGATGTAGATACTATTATTAGCTGTATTGCAGATGTCATGAATTATTTACATTTGAGACACTGTATGCTGTATATGTTTAATATCCAACATGTCCTAGACCAAGGTAAAAATTATTCATTAGAATTTTTTCTGTTGCATTGTGGGTGGGTGGGGGGGTGTTTTTGATTTTGGATTTTTAGAGTCATGACTTTTGAGACCAAATATATATTTAAAATATTGATCAAATATTAAGAGTACAATTGATATACAGAGATGGACATGTTGGCTTATTGAACAATTGAAATCAAAATAATGTAAACGGCTGATGCAACCAATATTCAATAAGAATACTGTATGCAGGGAAATGTCTGCCTCCACTTTATATTTGCCTTTTTGACCTAGACACAAGTAGACAATTTTAATGAAGGGGTGAATTCAAAGAAGTCGGTATAATTTCTTCGGCAGAACATTGACTTTGTGTTACTGGGCAAATTCAAAACAGAGCAACATTTTTTGCAATTGTGAAAAGACAAAAATAATGGGAGACAGAAAATAACCCTGTATACAGTATACTAGCTAAGACAGAAAATTGTCAAGTACTTTTATGCAGCAAAGAAGATGAAATAATTCATGTACTCTGTTAAAATATTGAGTCGTAAAGCAGCAGTAATATAGCTGAAGCAGGTGCTAACAAGGAAATTCAAAAAATGAAGAAAATCTGCTTTATAACTTAAATGCCTTGAGAATTGGAAAATTATGTCATGCATTTCCTGAATGTAATTTTATGTTTAAACACAAACACACACAGAGCACTGCAACATGCTTTTTTGACACCTTCACGATTCCTTATGGACCTTTAAAAAAGAAAAATTGAAATTTTTGAAATTTTTTTTAAAGAAAAGGAGGAAGAAAGAGTTTATTTGCAGGAGGAAAAACTGCTTGCATTGTTAAATGTGCAGAAAACCAGCGTTCATTAATTGTTTTCTCCACATAATTCTTATGCAGTCAGTTTGAGTTAGATACTGGCACTTTTCCATCAATTTAAATTTTTAGAGCATTTACATTGTACTTGCTGAAGAAGGCACTTTTCACAAAAAGTTTCTTTAATAGAAAATTACTTTATTCAGAAAAAAAATGCAAGCACATGCATATGTTTGTGCACTTAACTTAAAAAGGATAAAACAATTACTGAGTAAAATAATTAATTTAATGTGCTTTATTATGTAAACTCCAGCGTTAATATGCATGTTCTGATTTCAGGGAGCAGAGCTAGAAATGCTTTTGGAATATTTTGTATAAATGGAAACCTTGATGAATTACTATAAAGGGTGATGGTTGGTTATGTCATGGCAGAACTGCGCAAGTTGTCAGTGGTTGAAAAATTCAAAGGTATTCTTTCCTTTTGTATTGCAGCCAAACGGGGAAACGGTTAATGGCCAAATGTAGGATGTTGCTACAGGAGAATGAAGAATTGGGGAAGGTGATCACTTCAGGAAGAACAGCTAAATTAGAAGGAGAAATCGCAGTACAGAAACAACTAGTACAGGAAATGAAGGGCAATCAATCAGGTAATCAAAGATTTCTTGAATTCATTTTCAGTAGAAGAAATGCACTTTTCAAGGGTAGGACCAAAGAAAAAAGGTTATTTTGTATGGTATGAAGAATTTTATACTGTGTTTGAAAGAGTGAGACATTCCGTGTGATGTAAGATAAGTATTATCTTGCTTCAGGTGTTGTACAATATATCCTACAAAATAAGTGGATATGCTATCGAGATTTGTTTTAATAGCTTGTATGGTATACTGCAGAAAGAAATAATTTTATGTAATGTGTTTACAGAGTTGGATGAGTTTCTTGGAGATTTAGAAGAAGATGTAGAAGGCATGCAGAGCATGATCTATGCATTACAGCAGCAACTGAAAGAGACTAAAGAACAGGTCAGCAAGTTAGAGGAAGAAAACAGTAAACTGAAATCCTCTGTACAAACAGGTGCCGTGTCACAGACCTCTAATAGTGCTATTCCAAGCAGCAGTCCCACGATAGACCTTAAGGAAATAAAACAAGAAATGGACACAGACCCTGTAAAACAGGAGATAAAGTGTGAACGGACAACAGAATTTGAGGAAACCTCAGAACGGACTCTACATAGATGGTCAAGTCAGGAAGAAATGATGGACACTGACCAGGATTCTAGGGATGTGCCGGAGGTTAACCACATAACTCACAGACTTCAACCCGGGGAAGGCGTTAAGTGTTCAGAATACGAGAGCTCGCAAGACGGCTGGTCCAGTCCATACCCTCAAACCAAAGACGATATCAATGGATCAAACAAACACCCCTCCCAATCGGACAGTACGCCAGAAATGGACCACCTTAGTGACAAAGGGTACTCAGGGACAGGGGATCTATTACCCAATGGGGTTAACAGGACTCCATTAAAGGAAGAAATGGGAGAAGCATAATATCAACCATGTCACAAGCTCAGATATTCATTTTTGTCATCCCTAGTAATATTTCTTTAAAACAATTTTTGATTGGCTATAAAAATGAAATTTTGATTTCATTGGCCAATCAGATGATGCATTATGAATAAGAGATAAAAATTCATTGTCCATTCATAGTATTTGTTACTTGTGTTTAAGTGTTGATTTTATTAATGTTTTACTTTCTCCTAGAAATCAGGAACAAAGTATAGTGATGTTGTAAGACAACTACCATTTATAGAGATTTTGTGGAAAGATTTAAAGTTTTTGAAGGGAAGTTTTCCTTAAAACATTAATATTAATGTAATTTTTTTTGTCTGCAAACCGTGTAAAAAATTAACACATTCATCTTTTTTCAAACCTGTCTCTTGTTTAGATAAAAAATGGATGATATGTGAAAGTGCTTTTTCACGTTCCAAGAAGAGAAAATTTTGTGCATGCATTTTATTTAAAATGGAAGAAAAGGTAGAATTATGCCTTATTTTAATTAGTTTTTGGGTTGCATTGATTAACAAAGGAACACATTTGATTTGATTAAGTTTTCGGTGGGCAAACGAAGTTTAGATAATTTTAAATGTGCGTAGAGATCTAAAATTTTGAATGGTTAAGGTACGTATATTAATAATTTTCGTTGGAATATATTTTTTCCATTGGCTTTAATATTTTCAATTTTTATATATTTTGAATTTAAATGCAGATGTTTGAAACCTCCATGGGTTGAAAAAAATGATTATTTTTATGGTAGTCTGTTCAAGAACAGAAAAGTGATATAATATGTTTGATCTCTTGTTGTCATGGTAATTTGTGAATTCCTATTAAAATGAACTTAACAAAATGCAACAGTTTTCTTAGTTTTTCTCTAAATTTGAAGGTGTTTTTAAGCTTTATGTACACTGTAATGATGTATTTCACAGAAAATTTATAGATTCAAAACTTTCAGGCAGGAAGACTTTCTTTACTTGGTTAAATGTAGTTTGATAATAGTGGAACTTGCCATATTTGAAAGGGGAGGAACTTTTCCATGGAACTTGCGCTTGGATTTTTCATGTACAGTACATGTACCTTAGTATACACATATAGGGGGAGGCTGTCCATAGAGTTCGAGGACAAGCTAAGATTTCAATAAAAGTGGTGTCAAAGATGTTTATTATTAGCATATTTATAATCCGTAGGTAATAAACTTGTCCAGATTAATTAAAAGCAGAATACTGTGTTATCACATGTTAGTGCAGCGTGCTTTGTAGAAATGTAGAATCAAGTTGTCTGATATCTTCAGAGGCAATTTTTCAGGCAAGTGATGAAAATATTTTTAATATATCTACATATAACTCCAGAGTCTTGATACATTGTATAACATCTCTCATTCTATTGCCATTGAAATCTTTGTAATTTAAAAGATGAAACATATACCTAGATAAATGGGCTGGAACTTTATAAACTTGATAAGAACATAAAAATTTCCCGTAACTCATGTTGCTGATTAACATCATGTTGGTAAACAATATTTTCAGAAATTGAGTGAGGATTGTCCAGCTTCCTTCTATTATCTTCACACTTTGAACATCTGATTCATGTGATTAATAGAGGATAGGTTCAAACAAAGGGGAGGTAATTTAGAAATGGTGTTAAGTTTGATGGCATCTTTTAATTAAACATTTATTGAGAAGAGAACACTGAGCAAGAAAAAAAAAACTTAAGGTCAGACGAGACGTTCCTCAAAAGCTGTTTTGTATATCTTCGTAATGTATGAAAAATATTCAAAATTTTCAAAACATTCTGATTTCTACACCAGTTTCTAGACGTTTTTAAAAAATCCAAATACTTAAACATTTGAAATTGGAGAATTATTTTTCTTCCCCAAAGGGTTATATAAGAAAAACTACCCCTGGTATCTTGCAGAAATGCCTGGTAAGGTACCTCTATTTTTTGTGAGTAAACATGTTTAAGTAGCAACACTTCAATGACAAACTCTTAGAAAAATTTATCTATTATTTAAGGAACGTCTCATCTGTCCTAATTGAAACTTTTTGAAAACGCAACTTGTTTCTCATT